TATATATATATATATATATATATATATATAAGCCTCTGTTGGTAACGCTCAAATTGCCACAGGGGTTAAAGCTCCCAAGCCGAATTCTCGCGTTCACATACCAGTACCGTTGGGATTTTTTAATAATTCTTCTTTAAATGAATGATTATGTCCAGAGCAAGATCTTTTAACATTTCGAAAAAAACACGAAATGTCATAATATTTTACATTAATATATTTTAACCTTAGTTAATCATCACTCGATGTCAGAGTGGTTCAGTGGTTAGGGTGCTCAACCCTCGTCTAGAGATTTCGTGTTCAAATTGCAGTAGAGTTGGGATTTTATGTTACTTTTTTTTCTTATAAATTATATTTACAGCATCTTCTTTCTATACCATTATACATTAAATCAAGAGTTTGAGATATTGGTTAACATTCAATTTAAAGGATGGAATGTTTACAGCGTCAAGCTACCTCAGCCTTTCATTACATTTGAACACGTCTAACATCATATATGAAATAAATTATAAAGTAAAATTTTGAATAAAACCAAAAATAGTTTTGTTTGTTTGTTTGGGATCAAGCAAAAAGCAAATTTTATTTTTCGTTTTTTATTGTTGACTGTTATTTCAAATTTAGTTATTCAATGCGTTTTAATACCTATGCAAGTTATACTTTTCCGTAGACAATTTTGGTTGATTCCTTTGCTTAAACATTAAAACTTATCAGCATTTAAATGACAGCTAGTACGTACTGCAGCTTTACAGGTTGTGAGAAGATAAAAATTAAGCTATCTATGTATGTTTGTTGTTAACCACAAAACTACACAATGGACTATTTGTACTGTGCCTAACCATGGCACCATATACCATATACCTTGCACTAATAATATTAATATAATGCTACTTGACCTATTCCGCAACTCGAAAACTGATCACCAGTGAGGTATCGTATTTCGTAGATGAATTAGTGAGACGATGGGAAAGCATTTTTAGAGCCATTAGAAGCACTGACCGTGAAATCTTCTAACAATTTCCGAAGGAACCGACATTCATGGTTATTACTGCACACTTTCGTAACATAACATACAAAGCTGACTGAAACTGTTCGTTTATTTTTCGCATTTGGTATCGTATGCTGTCTTTCAGGTTTCCCAATATAGAGGAATCGTCGCGATACACCAGTGACTTCATGCGGTCCCACCGGTAAAAATAATCAAAATGAGATCTGGAGTTAGCTATCATTGTGTAAAATGTCTGATTACAACCCCCCTCTAAAACAATGTTCAATTAATTCCTTGGTAGGCAGTGCAATACGAGGTAAAGCAATCCAATGCACGGAGACTGTTTGATTTTCATGTTATCTTACCTGAAGTATAAGGGTGATAACATCTTCCAACATGGACCAGTAGCGTTCTCTATTCACCGCCAATGTGCGAAATTCGTTATTTGTTGGCTCCTTAAAGAACCCACACTCTAACTTCACATTGTGCAGTGACCATTTCAGAAAGGAATGTAGATTCTTCTCTTCCTTGTTAACACAGTTGCGAGTGTCGGCCTGATTGTGAAGATAGAAATAAGTTTCTTCTGACCAAAAGATGTCGTCGATTTTGACTTAAGCCAGAAATCAGAGTGTACATTTTAAGCATTCATGTTCATGTTATGGCAGCAGTCCATGGCTCACCAATATCCTTTTGGAGGAACAGTTTCAATCTCTTAGGTATCTCCTTCCACATTGTTCATTGTAGGAGTCTAATATACTTAGAATGTTCACTGGTGCTACATTCTCCGTGAGAATTTTCTACTCCAAAAAAAAAAACACCCGAGTTTTCTATGAATTCCACCACAGTTTCAACAGATGTTACAGAGTGACCATTAGGTTTTTTTTTTCAATGAATTGTTGTTCTATGAATTTCAGCGCAACGTCAATAAGTGTTGTGGGGTGACCATTAGATTTTTCTCTTTAATAACACCCACCTTTCCACTGAAATCCGCCACAACTTCAGTAGGTGTTGTGGGATAACCATTAAATTTTCTTCTCCGATAGCACCTGACTTTTCTCTCAGTGCCATCGCATCTTCAACGGATATTGTAGGGTGACTATTAGACTTTCTTCTCTAATAACACCCGCCTTTCCCCTGAATTCCGCCACAACTTCACTAGGTGTTGTGGGGGTGATTATTAGACTTTCTTTTCTAATAACACCCACCTTTCCCCTGAATTTCATCGAACTTAACAAGTGTTGTGAGGTGACCATTGTGAGTTACATTACACGAATCTTGTTGCTCTAAATATTATGACAACTTCCGACAAGCCTCAGTTCCGCATTGTGATCTTCGTTTGTATCTTTTATGTCGATAGAACCTTATTGTTGTAAAATTGTTACAAGCATTGCTGCAATAATGATTTTCAAAAGCAATTCTAAGATACGCCGTTTTATATATATATATATATATAAGAAAGGTAGTAACGTCTCATGATGATAATTATCATAATTTTAGAAATCTAAAGATGAAAAAACCAACTCCGTTTCTTTTGCTATTCTGTAGTACATTAAACAAGTTTCCATGGATAGTTGTCAAATTATCTGGTTCGACCTTGTTGTTATACTATTTTTAATACTGAAATATTTGTGTGTGTTGCAATATATAAAAGCCTCATCATATTTGGTATCGTCTTCAAAGTGATATAATACATCTGTAAATATGAGAGACATATTTGAAACATATACAGAGCTACACGATGTAAAAAATTATAGAAAAAATTCATTGGAAAAACAAAATATATTTTGCTTTATATATATATATATATATATGCTTTATATTAAATACAAACATATATATGTGTGTGTAACGTATTACTAATTCATTTATTTTAGCTTTCATGAAATTATCACGTTGTTCATGCAATACGCTATAACTACGCTTTATTCAATACGTACTAGCTATGATATTTTTATATTTGTTTTATTTAAATATGTCCATATGTTATAAACAGAGGTTAGACTGAAGAGAACAAGTATCGAAACTTGTATTCACATCAACTCGGTGTTCTATCTAAACTTTACTTTAGATTACTTTACAAAGTATTTTCTATTTATCTACTATACTTACATTTATATGAAATAAAGTCGTTAAAGACAACTTCGCTCCTACAGAATTGTTTTTTTTTACATTAAATGAACATGTAATTAAATCATCTGTTACTTCGTTTTCAAAGACGTGATATTTAACTGAATATAAGGTTAATATGTTGGCTTTGCGCCCTTTTGGAACTGTGTGTTACTTTAACTGTTTGTGAAATTAAGTTAGTAACTCTGCTCCATTTTAGAGATGTCTCTTTCTTTAAAAACATGTCAAAATTCAAACTTTTATTCTCTCCTTTCGAAAGCTATGCCTCGCTTTACCACATCTAAAAATTGTACGTTATTTTAAATGAATGTAAAATTAAGGAGAT